CTTGGGCTTCCAGTAACTGCTAGAATCCACTTCAAGACACTGGTACTTGCGTACCATGCTGCGAATGGATCTGGCCCTTCCTACATCCAGGACATGGTTAAACCGTACACCCCAGCACGTGCACTCCGCTCTGCATCGGCCAAACAGCTCGCTGCACCCGCACTGCGAGGGGGACCCAAGTTCCCGTCAGCAAAAACACGTGGGTTTGCTATCCTGGCTCCAAAATGGTGGAATGAGCTCCCATTGAAATCAGGACAGCAGAAAGCTTACACATCTTCCGGCGCAGACTGAAAACTCATCTCTTTAGACTCCACTTCGAGCGATTGAATTACTAACAAAGCACTTATATACTAATAAAGGGCTGGCTTATCTAAAGCCAGTTGAGTAGCACTTGAAATGTTTGGCTCTATGAAACCTGATGTACTTATATGATTCTGTTTTCTTCAAGGTTGTATCTTCCTGGTCGAATGCACTTATTGTAAGTCGCTTTGGATAAAAGCGTCAGCTAAATGCAATGTAATGTAATGTAATGTAACAGGTAACTTATTTACAATGGCAACCTGGCAGAAGACAATGGCCGTTTCTCAGTCGCGAGGAAACTGGTCCTTGGTTTGGGGGTAATTTCGAGGCTGCACATGGGTGTCCTTCAAATCCCCACAATGCTTTGCGCACGGACCAATTTCCCTAAATCTGTGGCGGAAAATGTAAGGCGGGGCCTCTCATATGACGCACACCTGCACACTTGCTAGCCTGTTCCACTCTTCGTTTTCCGAATGCCAGGGAGGATTCTTGCCTAGCTTCTGAAGGAAGTGACTCGGAAGACATGTGCTACCAAGCAAGCATCCTCGCGATTGAGAAACGGCCAATGCCTCTTGAGGGGAAGCTGTGTAGAGGCTTAAACAGACATGTGCCCACATTAAGTAATTATTCAGCATACATTAATATAACCTATCATGGAAGACAAATTAGGACTTGTATTTACAGGATTAATGACAACAGATCCTACACAGCCCCGAACATGTGTAATTAGCCTTCATATTCATTAGTTATCCTAATGATGATAGGCCTCATTTCCTTTTTTAATCAGATGTTGCTCATTAAACAACCAGCATTATTAGTTGAAAGGAAAGTGGTGTGGACTGTGAGGGAGATTTGTAAAAGTGATCATGTTTTTATTAGACATGATATGACTAGTTTCTTACCAGTTCATCTCATTTTTGCATCTATGTTTAACTCATTTCATGATACTATCTGCAAACCACTTTTTATTTTGTTCTGTTTGTATGTTTCTACAACCTAAGCACAAAAACATTGCATCCATGTTCCATGTGCAAGGTTTAAGTGTTTATTTAAGAGACTTTAATTGTGTAAATGTAAAATCAAGCAACTTACTTTTAATTTCCCCCCCAATTGTCCAGGTTCACTGCGAGTGAGTGGCTGCCTGCCTGAGAACAACACAAATTGTGACATCAATGCTGTCCGGTCCCCGCTGAATGTGTCGTCTACCATCAGCTTCACTCTGGACAGAAATGACAAAAGCGCAGAGTTCAGATGTGAAGCGATATTGGATCTTGGAGCTGAAGGACCAAAGCCTCCTCCAAACATGATGTCCAGTCCTCTGAACATCACTGTTTACTGTAAGATCACACTTACATTTGCTGCTCAGTAGATCATCATCACTGTAAGATCAAGTGATGATGGACATTCAAGGATAATTACATACTTAAACTCATCAAGAGAGGTTGTCGGAGAGTGCTCTCAATACGAAATTCTATTTTCCTATTAAAGATTCAAACATCCTTAACTGATGTAGAAAAGAGCAGAGTGAAGAAAATGGAGACATGTTGATGCTTCCGCAGTGTGTATTGATGCATCATGCAAATATAGGCAGATGTTAATATTTGTAACTTTATTATTTTATTATTATTCAGTGGAAGATAACCTCTTATGTTATGTATTTTATTTTATCCTATTTTTGAGTTTTATGCCATGTTTACTATTATGATCCAGTTTTGTATTTTCCATTGATTATGTTATTATATCCTGTGTTCTTTCAATGTTAATTCTGTCCATTTCCCCCTATTTTCAATACAACAAGTATTGTTGATTTCGTGTTAATTTCCTTGAGGAAGAAATTGTAAAAGTGCACATTTATAAGGTTTTTTGCCCTTTATTTCTCAACAGATAAGCCCAGCATTAATACCACAAAGCTTCCAAAGAGGATCCCATTGTTCAGAGGTTATCCTGAGGAGCTTGTCTGTGAAGCAGAGGGTCACCCCCCTCCGGAGATCGAGTGGCTCTACGGCGAAGACAAAGTGCCCCACAAGTCTGGAGACACACTCATTGTGTATGAAGCCGGCCGCTACACATGCAACGCCACGAATGAAATGGATTCCACCTATCATGCAGTGGAAGTGATTTTAAAAGGTAAAAATGTAGTTAAACAGATCTCTTGCAGGGGGTTGAAACAAGTAAATATAAAACGTTATATAAACTAAAAAAACTAATATTCATGAGTTTCTGCTGCTCAAATCTTTATTTTACTAGATCAATTATACAATTTTGCTCTAGACAGCCTTTATTCGTAAAATATATTTCACCAGTAGGGGTTAACCTTAAGGAGCAGAGCAAAAATACATACAGGTTCAAGGACGATTTTGTCCTCCTATTTAAATCCATTACAAAATGCCGCCGGGTGACCTTTTTGAGCGATTTGCCGGAGGAATGGATGGAGGTAAAGGTACGTTTGTTGGAAAGTTAAGCTTATTTTTTTACAATGACTTGCTTGCTGTTGTAATAGTTTATCATTATAGATGTTCCATATAAACTCAATAAGCCTGTCTTCCTGTCTTGGCCTTAATCTTACGTTGAAATTGTAAGTTTATATTTTAATTTTAATTACACTTTTACTTGTCAGTTTTTCATCCAAATAGCAAAGTGCATCTTTATTTATCCTGCAGTAGAAACCATTATCATATTTCTGGCATAAAAGTTCACATAAATGTAATATGCATGTGTTGAAGCATGAAATATATCTGACACTTGTATTTTTAGCCGTTAATTCTAATATTCATAAATGTTAATATATTGCCTGTTTGATTTCCTTACAGAGGACTACCTTCCGCTCATAGCTGGATTTGTGGCTGTCACAGTAGTTGCCATTTCCATCGTCTTCCTCTTCATCTACTCAATCTACTACAAGAACACCAAGATGCGTCGCTACAGTCTTAAAAATGCCAAACTTGACACTCAAAGTGGCAACGTAGCCCACTACGGATGTGACATGCAGTTTCCTATGACTAAACTGTCTTAGCAGAACATCTATGGGTAGCACAGACTGAACAGCTGACCACTCTGAATGCATCTCTCTGCCACCAGAAACTAAAGTGTGACTCAGCCTGCAGGCTCACACTGGACAAGCCTGCATCTATTTTCCAACATACAATAGTATTTTACCATTTATGGAATAATCTAATCATACAAAATAATAAACCTTGGCTTGAGATGTAGACTTTTATATTTACTACTGGATTTGACCTTTTCACTGGAAAGGAAGAAGAGGAGCAAGGGCTCAAAATGCCAAGAAAACTGTTTTAAATGTATTTTCACTATAGAACATATTAAGTATGATTATGAATGTTTTTTGTCCACATTGGTTTCACCAACGCTTGTGCTTCTCATTATGCCCCCTTAATATTCACTCAAACTCAGATCTCAGTGTGAAATTGTTTTTAAAAACCAAACATGATTTTGTAAAGCACATAGGAAGTGTTGACCCTGAAACTGCAGTGGTTTTAATTTCTACTAACAGGAAGTTTGCAGTGTTTTCGCCCCTCAGAAGGTGTGACATTGAATCAGCTCTTCTCACAGTATTGCTTGTGCATTCTATTCATTGACCCCATTGTCCCTTTACTATTCTTTGTAAGCCACTCTGCACTTCTTTCTGAGTGTGTAGCCTTCTCTGTGCCAGGTGTGACATTGTGCCTTATTGTGTCAGGCCTTATGGGACAAATTGTCTTGTGCCACAGTTGTAATGCTTTTGTATGAATGACTGCAGGCATTTATTGCCTATTACAATTTTAGATTCTGGATGTTTTATGTAAATGCAAAGCAATTATATTTATTTATGAGAAACAGCAAAGGTAAAACAATTTAGTATTGAACATGGAGAACAGTCCGGTGTGTAAATGTAAATTCAATGTGAGGGACATGAAAATATTTGTGAATAAAGCTGTAAATATTTGTGACTGATGTTAAACTGTATTTTAATAATAAAATGACTTTTCAAACAGATTGTTTTGTTATCGAAACCTTGCATGCATGCATGAATACATCTGATGTGTATAAATGTATGATACAAAGCTACATAACACTATTTGTGTAGTGTCTTCAAGCAACAATTATATAGTGCATTACTGTTGTTTATATCCAAAACTGCAAATGTATCCGTGCCTGGTAAATCTATTTCAGAGTATAGATAGACCCGTGAGAAATCCCACACTTGAAATGTCTTGTCTGTATATTTGGAAGGAGGAACAAACAATAAATCTAAAGAGTTAACATCTAATTAAAGCTAACCAAGAGGGGGCGTGCATATCCGTGTTCCTCCAGCTGCACTATCTATCCTGCAGACTGCTCTTCTAAAACTATGGTCTGTCTCGCTAACTGGCTCCATACAAAGCACACACTTTCCAAGTCTGAACATGTTGCTGGACCGACTCCACATGAGGGTGTTGTTAACTGAAGCCAGCCGGTTTTACGAGCTGGATTGCAGCCTATATTTGCTGCCTTCTAATGCTGTAGGAAATATTGTTGTTAATCAAGAAACACTTCCTGTTTTAGAGGAGAGGTTTATCTGGAACGCGAATTTTTGGATGTTATTCAATCGATTAATAAATCAGTTGATCAAGCAGACTAAACCAATCAATCATCCTTCAATCCTGCATTCAGTCCCCGCCTATTGACCATTGACACTGTTTACTTCCGACCAACACATGCTACTCCAGAGGCTAATGTTTGGAAATTACGAGGAGCACTTCAATGCATCACACATGGATAATGTTACAGTACCTTGGTGACTAAGATCATCATACAGTCTCTGCTTACGATGTGATCTCATCTCACACGGTCACCAAGTGAAAGAGAAAGTAGCTTCGAGGGACTCGGATTTGATCAACTTTACTATTTTTTAATCTTATTTAGTCCTAAAAGTGCTTCTGGTTTGAACGACGGAGAAATCATGAAGTTGTTCCTCGTTTTAAGCGTCTTTATAGCATTTACAGGTAAGTGTTTTGCATTGTATGCAAAGTTAGAAGGCCAACTTGTTTTTGTATTTTGAAGCGCCGACTCCACCGGCTGACCTCCGCCCATTGTTTGCTTTATCTAAGGCTGATCTGACTGAAATGGTTTGCTTTTTATAACATGGGGTCGAAATTGAACCATGATCAGGGCAGCCATACATATGTGTCGTAAAATAGATGACCTATTTTTGGTAAATATTATTATTAATGTATTTAATTACACTTGGAATGATTTAAGAACGTTTTCAACTATCAAAACGATCAGGGCACAATTATTGTTAGTGTAAACACTTTTACAGTTGCATGCATTTTCTTGTAACAATTGTAAAAAAAAATCTTCTTCACAATGTTATCTGTGATGTGAAGTAGGCCTACTATTTTTCCAACAATTATCACTGCAACCTTTTCAAAGTGTCTCATCAGCTTTTGCATGGCCATGATCTTTTAAACATAATGCTGTTTAAAACTCTACTTTTTTTTACTGTGTATACTGTAAACTATATTTACCCTGTACTTTTAGGAAAGCCTGTGAGTTCCTCCTGTGAAATTGAATTCAGCCCTCCCAATGTTGTGGTGAGATTTGGAGACCCCTTCTCGCTCAACTGCAGCTCAACATCCAACCAGATCGATTCAATGGGCTGGGAGGCTATTTACGGAACAGGTACAGGAATACAGTTTGGGGTATCTTCTGTTGCCTTAAAAATAGACTCTGTGAAGGACTGGCAAATGGAACCTCAGTGCTTCGTTAATCTCGAAAATGGTGTTCAGTGTTCAGAAACCCTAAACTTCACCGTTTACAGTAAGTAGCTTTTAACTTTCTGTTAATTATTAATGGAATTTTTGATCATTCAGTGCTTGTGATGTTGGATAGTTTTTTGACTATTTTACCAATTTGTCACTTTTTTTTTAATACAGAAATGCCGGACTTCATCTCTCAGCCAAGTCAAATGGACCCCATGGTCGAGGGTGAAAAGTATCGCTTGCAGTGTGACATTGTAGATGTTACACCAATAAGACACCTCTTTGTGGTCTGGCACATAGGAAATAGTATAATCTACGAACACTCATTTACTGATAACACTACATTTCCAGTCAATACTTCATCTGTCTTAAATCTGACTGCTCAAAGAGGCTATAATGGAGCTCAGGTCTGGTGTGAAGCAAAGATGATATTTTCGCCACCGGTACAAAGCCTTCCCACGATCCAGTCCAAGCCTCAGAAACTGATTGTACTGTGTAAGTTTTTAATGCAATCTTGAATTAGCCATAACAGTTCTAGATGTTTTTTTAAGGAGAATATGGTGTTTGTTTTGCGTCTGAATTTCTCTCTGTTTTTCTCTCTCTGTCTGTATTTTCAACACATTTTTCCCTCAGACTCGCCAACATTCACCACGCCCGAAAATGAGACGTTTGAACTCTCAGCTAGGAATAAAATAATGTTGAATTGCACTGCTACAGGAAACCCAATGCCGGTATACAGCTGGGGTTTCGCACACCCAATACAACAGACGAAGAAGAATGACAGTCAGCTCATTTTGACCCCATCCATTCGGCTTCCAGGGACCTACAACTGCACAGCGTCCAATACCCAGGGCTCCAGCACCAAGTATTTCACGGTCATCGAAGCTCCAAGTAAGATATTTTTCATAAAATGTTACAGCAACTCTATTATTGTCTTGCAGTTTTGATAATTCTATAATTGCTTAACGCTATTGTTTTCCATCAGGTAGTCACCCTGGAACCACTGCTGGAATTTTAATTGCTTTGTTCTTAGCAATAATCTTTATTTTGGGATGTGTGGTTTATCACAAACAGAGAAACTCTTCTGCTGCATGACCAGATAGTCTGAACAGATGAGCTGAAACAGAATGTAACACAAACTCCCGTCTCCCACAGGGAACCGCACTACCTTTGCAGCCTTGGTTGGAGGATTTGTGTTCCTAGGAGCCGTGCTCTTCATTGGCGGTCTTCTTTTTGTGAAACCTGATGGCACGTTTTCTTTCAGCAAAGTCGGCTATCTCTAAGGACAGCTTGCCTCATCAGGACCTGTATGAGGCCAACTTTTTTTTAATTCAATTTTGCATGGGTATGCCATGTAAGTAGTACATTTTTAACGTTTTTTGGTGCTTGGATTAACATATTGTCATGTCTCTTAAAGGCCTAGAGGTATAATCAGTTTGCTCGGCTATTTTGTGGCGTCATTATCATGCTTGGGTGCTGTAGCTTTGACATTGCATCGCTTCAGCTGTCTGTAAAGCTCAACTAATCAATATTGCTATATTAACAAACGGCACATTTACATGCGCTCAAGACATCAGGTTACTTGGAGAAACCAGGGATATATTTGGTACACATCTCCCCTTTCAGCTTCCCACTCTGCTGTCAGAGACACACTTTTCCTGTCTGAAGTCTGTGTCCTGCACGGAAGCTGACTCTAACCCAGGTTATTTACTAGGTGCATGCAACCGCAACGGAGCATTAACACCCAACTTTGCAGCTCTACAGAGCTTTTTAACTTCCTTAAGCTCTTTGTTTTGGTTTTGTGGCCTGAACATTTGGTGTATGTTTCTGTCTTAGTAACTCTCAGCCACCTTTTATCAGCAGGAAGGTTTTTCCAGCAACACTTCTGGTAAACCAACTGTATACTACTTGTCTAACAACAAAGCAACAACACGGGGAAGGAATTTGAGCATGGAAGAGACAAAATTTTTTCTAAGAAATGAGTATAGACTGTATGTATGTTAGAGACTTGCATAGAGCTGATAGAAGAATGTATATTAGAAACACTATTACATGTATAAGGCCAAAGTGGGTGTGTCAAATTGTTATAGAGTTATTCTGCCTCCAAGTGGCCGCTTTGCCTTTTGGCAGTCAGGAGCTGCAGCCCTCATCTCTTATAACTTAAAAAAATTGTCTAATGATAAGATTGCACAAATGGATACTACTGAATGGTACTGATTCAACAACCATTGTTGCCTTATTACAAGAATTATCACTTGTTTTCTATCCTTTTTTTCAACTAACCAAACAAGACCAAATGTTAAGGCAAAAATGGAGTTGATCTATTCTACATGATGTTTTTATCCACTCAGGTCAATGGTCACTACATGCTTTCCAGACACTACAATTGTTATAGTAATTACTTGAGAGTGCCTGCAACTGGGCAGTTTTATTTTTATGAATAAATTGTGCTATTTCATGTTATGTATAATATTTTTTACCAAATGTTTCTTTAAAATATGCGCTGGCACAGCTCTGGAATGTTGGTTTATTTTTGCACTGAAAAGACTGACCATGCCATTTCTGTAACGTTCCTTCAATTTTATATGAAAAGATATGCGAACAGACGCTTTTTATTAAAATTACGTGATTATGAGCCACTAAATCCTGTGTCAGATATACTATTTTCCTGATGTATTGGTTAAAAATTAAACAAAAGACTGTTCTTCATTGTTATCCGCTGTTATCAAAGACAAATTATTTCAAAAAAGGGACGTTGTGAATGATCCAAGGGGTTTTAAAGGGAAAATAACTGATTATTTGATCCAAAATGTTAATTTCCTCCAAATCCTTAGGCAGAATACTAAATGAGGGATAGACGGAAATCCCCTGGATCTCTCTCTCTGTTTCTCTCTTTGGCTTACATTATGCGGTGATCAGGCTGCCATACTAATCAGAATTGCACAAAGTGAATGTAAAGGAGAGCATTTGTTATCCTGCCTACGGTTGCCAATATAAACCTATTTTTTTCTGAAGGCATGTTCCTTATGTTCAGTCCTTGTCATTTTCACTAAAGGTTTTGCAAGAAAGCACTGTTTGCGTATGCTCTGACTGTGTTGCTATAACAACCTGGCAGAGTGGATATTGCTGAATTTGTTAAGGAGTTAAAAAAAGGTTATGATAGAAACAAGCTGAACATAATTCTCTAGAGAACTTGAAGAGAAAGCAGCATATTGAAAGTGAAGCATGAACTTTAATCTGCACATTGAGATTCCCAGCTGTGCTCTCACACCAAAGAGCATCCGATTACTTGCTCACTTGCACTGCAGTTGCGGTCAGAGCGGATATACTGTGTTACATTCTGGTCACAGTGTGAGGCTTACAAGCTACATGCTGTACCAATACTCCTGCCTGCTGGGATTTCACAAAGCATGGAGTTCAGAAGCAAGAGGATACAAGAATGCAAGCAGAACTGAAAACAGGCTGTTGTTCACAGCCAGTCATGATGGCCGAAACAACAGATCAAATATCTGGTTGGAAAGCAGAACATGTCACACCTAAGGCTGGAATGTAGAAAGTATAAAAACAAAACATCCCCCCTTGACCTAAATTAAATAAAGTTCAGATTCTTGTAAATATGTGTGTGCATTATTTCAGTTTAAAGATATTGGGAAAGTTTGGTTGCTGTAATAGATTAATTACTTTATACTAAAACATGCTATAAATGTATTACAATGATTATACATGCATTGAAGATGTATTGGTATATTTCAAATTGACAACATTTTGAACACCAAATATTGTTCTCTAAGACTATAGGGTTTTAAACGGATATTGTAAATGTATGTATTCATCTTTTTCATTATTTCCGGTGATGTAATATGAATGTCTAAGGTGGGACCTGCAATGTCCTGTTATAATGCATTTTATATAAGAGCAGTGCAGTACAAAGGATTTCGCTGTGTTTTTCAGAGGCCTGCCACCTGTTAAATTTCCCTCTTTCCCTTTCACCCCCCCCCCCCCCCCCCCCCCAAAGTCAGCTGGGATGAAGGGGGCCCTTTTGTTCCAACATAGTTCCCTGCAGAGTTGCCAAGCTTGTACAAGTTGGAATTTTTCTCTCTCTCTCGCCCCTGAATCGACGGCTCAGTGCACAAGATAACATGGGAAACACATTTTTTAGATGGATTCTGACACTTTGCATGATTTACTCCGGTAAGGTAACATTGTTTTCTCACTTGTTGGGGTTATAGATGGCGCTCGTTGCGGAAATGTTCTGGGAAACGATGACATCTAGTCTGTGATAAAATGAATGTGAGACCGACAATCAGAGCAACAACACGTTAAAGCATTGCTTTATTTATTCGTCGCGGAACCACTAATTATATTGTAATTAGGATTGTTGATCTCTGTAGCGTGAAAATATGCCTGTTAGTATTTATATTACTGCAGTATGTTTCACAAGTGCAATTATGACAGTTAATCTGTAGGCTAGGCCTAATTCCTTATAGCCTAGAGGGCCCACAAAGTAAACATGTTGTTGACATGGCATAGCCTACAAATACATCATAATCAATGTAGTTGTATGTAATTATACACAGGCGATTGCGTTGATTTCCTGTGTTGTTGGTTGTTACACGGTAACATTACAGCCTGCATACGAAAAGAGGCCGAGTGCAACAAGTGAAAAGAAGCTGGGGGAGATGACAGGCTAAATAGACGATCACTGCTGCTGTGTGTCCATTTGTGAAAAGTAACTAAGTCTGAGTATTTAGAAAAATGTGTGTAGCCTATGTTTTACTCCATTACATTGATTTGACAGCTAGAGTTACTTTCCAGTAAAGATTATGAATATAAAGAAAATACATTTAATGCATTAATATATTAGGTTAAGCTACCCAGTCGTATAGTCATTACAATAAGCTCCTCCTTTGCCAGCTGCAAAATGAACACAATGCATCAATAACTATACTCAATAATGGAATATTACTCTGGAATAGGCCATTCTGTTTTAAATGTGGTACTCAACAAGTTTGATGCTGATACTTGCACCCATTGTGTCCCAGTGTCAGGTGAAGGTTGCTCCCTCGTCCTGAAGCCCTCCAGGGTGGTGGTGGGCTTTGGGGAGCCGGTGTCGGTCAGCTGTGAGGCCACTCGCCCGGTTCGGGTCCTGGGCTGGGAGTCTGTCATCAGTGCTGCACACACTCAACAGGATCTGTCCGTCCAGTGGAAAGTAGACAGCCTCATTGATTGGATAGAGGAGCCTATCTGTTATGGTGTGTTTTTCACAGCTCCCAGACAGTGTGAGGAAAAACTCAACCTTGTCCTCTACAGTGAGTCAACCCTTTATTTAACACATAGTGTAGAAAATGATCTTATTGACTTACATGAACCTGTTTGACTTGAACTTTTTATGTATTTAGAAACCCCAGATAGTGTCTCCATCAGGCCTGTGAACCACTCTGGCCCCATGGTGGAGGGAAATGAGTACCAGTTGCTCTGCGAGGTTCAAAACATTGCTCCGGTTCAATACCTCACCCTGAGGTGGTACAAGGGGCAGACTGAGGTATACAACCACTCCTTCACTGAACTCACATCGTCATCGCCTGTCCAAGTGTCCTCTATCCTCATGGTCACACCAACAAAAGCCGAAAATGGAGCACATTACAGGTGCGTAGCGGAGCTGGAGCTCGGACCAGAGGGACCACAGCCCCCCCCCAGTGTGACCTCGGAGCCTCTCAATGCCTCTGTGTACTGTAAGTCCTGAGTCTTATCTGCAAAACAGTTATCATCAAAGTCAACTTTATTGTCAATCTTTCAGTTTGTGTGTACAGACAAAGAGATCGAAATACCGAATACAAAATACAAATATTTATAAAAAAATGTATAAAAAAATGTATATACCTATAAATACACAACCACACATGTATACATATGCACACATTAAGACATAAATAAAAGCACAACAATCAATCTATATACAAAATAAGTCACTTCAAAATCTGTGAAAAATGTACATTAGTGCAAGACTGTCATAGCAGCGGAGAAAGTGTCTACATGTATATCTATCATATTTTCAATGTTCTGGATATAATACAGTTACTAAAGTATTCTAACTTTTTCACGAGTATTTACATTTCCTGCGACTATACTGTATATTTCTACTACACTAGAATTTTGAGGCAACATTTTACATTTATAGGACAGCTTTGGAGACTTAGAAAAATTATATTAAATAATGCAAAAATAAAATCAACAAATGATCAATTTTGTAATATTACATGTTAAAATAACACTCTTATGATCCTTTGGTGAAATTCGCAAGCTACCCTGTATACATACTTCTAATTCAATAGAATTGTATGTTCACTCAATTGAATATGCTGAATTTAATCCTTGTGATCTTTGCTCTAGTTCCTCCTACTTTCCTCGATCCGGTACCAGCGGTCTTGGACCTTACAGTAGGTGCTGAAATGACCTTAAACTGCACCGCCACAGGGAACCCTACGCCTGTGTACAGCTGGCAATCCTCCAATCCCATTCCCGAGGGGATGGGCGATGAAGCAGCTCTTACCTCCTCCTCACTGCTGCCAGGGACCTACACCTGCACAGCCTCCAATACACTGGAGAAGAAGAGCAAGCAGTTTATCGTCAAGGCCAAGACCAAAGGTATGAGGGGAATCTGAAGTGCACATGTAGTTTCTACACACTGCCTCTTAATCAGCCTCTTCTCATGCTTTCACTTAGGTGTTTGAAACAGGAAATCCTGAGAAGGGCTCAGATGACAACAATGGACATACAAGGAGAATCCAACAATGGGGATTTTACTGCTGCTGCTTTAGAGATGGAAATGACCTTCTTGACTCAACAGATATTTATGAGGATCTTGCTATCAGGCAGGATTAGATCTCAATTAAAAACAATATATTTGATATACTTTGTTTGGTAACTGTTGTTTAAACTGTCAGTATGTTAACATGAAAGTGTTCGTGAGATAGATTCGTTATTTAGGATATAGTTATGCTTTCAATGTGATATCCTTTCTCTAATTTATATATTTTCTAGATCTATTTTCGTATTAATGAAATTATTGTGTAATCTTACCAATGTGTAGCTACTCCTGATATAAAATGATGACGACATTGTTATTAATGTATGCTGGAAATTAATTAGAGAACGTTAAAGATCACCCGGTCATTACTGTAAATATGAATTGTTAATTTTCTTATCTTTATGAATAAAAGTTAAATGAAAACATTTTTGATTTTCTCTTTTTTAACACCTACAGTAGATTTACCTAGATTTCATATTATCAGAATGAATGTTTTACTGTTGGCTTTGGGTCAAGTGTCATAAGAACATACATAAAGTTATTTTGAATAAGAATTACCTTTAACAAGTCAAAAAACATAATGTTTAGAATCAGAGCAATGAGTTTTATAGACACAATTATTATAATACAGGTTTAAATTGACATAACCTTTGTTTTCAAAATAAAAAAATTATTATATGCCTTTTTTTGTGTTAACTAACCTAACACCACTTTACTTTGTGTAAAGTCTTTAAAATACGATATGGGAAAAATAAGCAACGGTCTCCCATAAATTCATAGAGGTAAGACTATTTTTCTATATTGCAGAAATAGCAGTTTGTATTGTTTTAATGTCTGCATGTAATTCATTACGCACCACCAGGTATCGCTGCTGTACTCTTTCACATCATGATTTGAAATTCTATCCAAACGTCACGTGATCAAAACATTGTCCCATTGCAGAAGGAAGTGCTATTAGTTTAGCGGCTAACACCAACATACGACCTTTAATCTAAATCGTCATAAATACGTCCTTGCAATCTACCCAGATTCAAGAGAAGGTGGGGACAAGAATTTACAACGAAACTGTTTTATATATCTATGAGTGATGTTCTGTCCTTTGTAATGCAGTGCCTGATGTGTTTACTTTTAACATATTCTGAAATGGTCCCTTTTCGGTCCGCTTCAGGAGGTATGCCACCGAAAGATCCGTGTCAAAAGCAAGCATGTGCAATTCAACACTGTTTACAAGGTACACAAAACAGTCATTTGAATGCAATTATGTTTTTTTTAAGTAAACCCCACAGTAACATGTTCTAACTCCTCCTGCAGCTAACAAATACGTGGAGAGCATGTGTCAGGATGTGATCCGGGACATGCGGCGCTGCTGTGAGTCTCAGGCCGGAAACTCTATCTGCTGCTCCGGGTTCAAGGACTCAAAACCCACGGAAAACCAAAGTAACACATAGCTCCCTGTGGGATGCTTTCGATGGGAATCATGGTGAAAAGTCACATTGTATCAATGTTTTATTTACTGTCACATTGTCTCTATCCTGCAACAGCGAAGTACAGTGACTTAAATAGTCTTTGAATGATTGTGAAATGGCCTTTCTCTAAGCAAACATTTCGACATGTCTTTGCAGAAAGGCACTTGAGCCCTGGGGCTGGCACACCTACAGTAGGCTATGTGGAGTGCAACCACTAGTACTGTTATTAAATTAAACCCTTGTTCAACCAGTCAGAATGTCCTACCTCTCTGGCACATCATAACTTGTGGAAATGTATAATGTACACTGTCAATGTCAAATGACTATTTATTAAAAATAATTGTGTTCTGCAATTGTGTTCTGTGGCTTTTCATGTCATCAAATTCAAAGGAACACTGAGCTACTGAAACATTCATAATGCAGATGTGACTTTTTAAGGGCCTGCAATCACTCATGGTAAACCAATCAGTTGTGTTTGAATATAATGTTGACTGATTAGACCTATTGACTGTATATGAAGAGATTATACCTCTTCCCAGGATTGAATGTGTACAGACTACTTTTTTTTTAGTTAAATAGTACACTGACTCTGTTGACCTAACATAATTACCAGTATAACGCAGCACATCTATTGATTTTCAAGAATACAAAATAAACAAAATAAATTGGATGAATCCCATGAAATTGTATTTTTAAAATACAAACAAAACAGACAGGCATAGGTTATTGGAGATGACATGTACAACATAAGTAGTAAATATAAAAAAGGAAACATCCATATGAGGAAGCATACTAATATATTATTATTATTATTATTATTAATAATAACAATTTGAATACTAAATATATATAATACAATCATATAACTTAGCACATCTTTAACGTAAGCAGAGGTCTCATCTATGATAATTGAAAATACAGTCGGGCCTCTGATAACACATCTTATTACTGGGAATAATTTACATCACCTAAATATACATTAAAATAAAAGTGGTGTTCTGTCAGAAATGTTGCAAAAATATTGTTAATGCTTTTTTTGCAGAACATAAGCAGTAACCATGTGCATGAAACACAGTTTATTTGAGTTTGATTAGCACTTAACTGTCGTCAACAACAACAACAGTCGTCTTTTTTTTCTTTTCCGGTGTCGTACATGCGTATGACGCAGTGACGTAATGACGCAGTGACGCCAAACGGAAATGTGCAGCAACGATTCTTTCTAGAAATCTGTAGCAGTTTCTCGCTAGCTAGTAGCGACTACTGTTCTAGCAACTAACCACCTAGTAGGTGTAGGTCCATCTAAGTTTGCCTTGGCCGGAAACAGCCAGCCACTGCATCGACTACTAAAACATCTTAGTAAAAAGTGTTGAGTTGTTTTCTTCATCGGCTTTTATTAGATTGGAGATTGAGGATAGCTTGGTTTAGCCTCCTAACTTAGCCGAGTCATATCCGAAGCTAACGTTGTTTGGCTCGTACTGGTATAATGTCTAGGATAGACTACAGCGTGTGGGACCATATCGAGGTGTCAGACGATGAAGATGACACCCACCCCAACATCGACACACCCAGCCTCTTCAGATGGAGACACCAGGTACAGATTTAAACAACAGTATATTTACAGTACGTATTTACATGTATACGTCGTTTCATAACTGTGTCCTGTTCTCACTTTGGTGATGTATATGACTGCAAATAACTTCAATAAATCATTGAGAGGGGTAGGACCCAAACCAGATTTATTTTGGACTAAACAGACTACAGCTTGCTTCACGTTTTTACATTGGCATTTGTTCTGCAACACCTGCAACACTGACCCCCACTGTTATTGTGATATATTGTGGTCTTACCATTACTGCTGGTGCGAAAGTATCATAATACCCATTTTAATTAGTTAAATGATCACAACACATTTTCTAGATAATGTGTGTACCTAATATTGTCACTATCAGTGGAATAAGTAGTCATCTCTGACCATTGCTGATGGAGAAGCTGCCTCCAATGGCTTCAGCCAGTTCCCTAAAGACAACATGAAACCCTTGTACCTGTGCTGTGGACTTATGTATAACTGTTATCATTTCTGTTCTTCAGGCACGTGTGGAGCGAATGGAAGATTACCACAAAAAGGGTGACGACATAAGCAAGGCACTTAATGAGAGCCGTCGTAAGCTGGCAGAGGCACAAAAGAAAGTACAAGAGCTGTCCGCTTCATCAACCGATGATGCCAAAGCAGAGCTGAGCAAAGCCCAGGCCGAGGAGAAGAAACAGAAAAAAGAGGAGCGGGATATAGATAAGAAGCTAGCAGAACACAACCGGGAAGAGAAGAAGATGCCATGGAACGTTGACACGCTCAGCAAGGAGGGTTTCAGCAAGGTGAGGCAGATTTTGGATTTAGGATTGGCATCATATTGTTATATTTTCACTACAAGTCCCTATTTCAGCAAAATGATATGTGGTTAAGAAGATTGTAATAGTACGAAAGTAGCAAACGAAATAATAAACTCTATCAGCCTTTGCTAAGTTTATATTTATTAGAATATATTGAGTCGTGTTTTTCTGTCTTTAGTCTAATAATTATAAAAGTAACTTCTCAATACCACTTTAACATTACATTTGGTGCATATCTATCCTTTTTTCAGATCATTTAAAGATAATTTATTTGCATGGCCTATGCTATAAAATAAATAATACACCCTTTTGCAACAATCTGGTTAATTTTATCTTTATTTATCCATCCAAATAAAAAATAAAAAGTTATATAATACAATAAATTAGCTTCTGTCCTTATCAGAAACATAGTCTGTAATGATGATTTTCTGCCCCTGTTTGTCCTCCTCAGAGCGTTGTTAATGTCCTGCCTGATGCCACGGAAGAGACTGAAGAAGAGAAGGAGACGAAGCATAAAACCTTTGTGGAGAAAAATGAGAAGCAAATCAAACATTTTGGTAAGTCTTATTGATATCTATGCATCTTTCAGAGTGTTGGTATATAAAGAAAGTACAGCTGGCCTTTCATTGCTGTCTTTAAAATAAAGGTCCATCTTCTTCTTTACTACAGGTATGATGCGGCGTTGGGATGACAGCCAGAAATACCTCTCTGACAACTCTCATCTAGTGTGTGAAGAGACTGCCAACTACCTGGTCATCATGTGCATTGACCTTGAAGTTGAGGAGGTAAAAACAAACAGAATATTTTTTCTTAACATTTAGCTCCAAGGGAACTGGTGCCTACAGTTTGTTTTATGGGCTGTAACATTGTGATACTTTAACATGCACCAGCAATAGTGTTTTGAAAATATGTACATTATTCTTAAATTCCTTTTTTTTGTAGAAACACTCATTGATGGAGCAAGTGGCTCATCAGACCATTGTCATGCAGTTCATTTTGGAGTTGGCAAAAAGCCTCAAGGTGGATCCCCGCGGCTGCTTTCGACAATTCTTTGCCAAGATCAAGGTGAGTAACTGCCACAAAGTCCATCAAATAATTCATAGCTTTTTTGATAAAAAAAGTTCAAGGTACTATGGAGGGAACAGGAGCTAAACCCAGACCCCAAACTAGGAACTAAAGTTTTTGACATCGGCAAATAAGTCAAGTGATGCTAAAAAAACAACAGTGTCTTAACCCTCCTGTTGTCTTCGGGTCAAATCTGACCAATTTACTACTTTCATCAATCATAACTTTTTTGTTTTACATTCAATTGCATTAAGGCTTTATGATATCCTTCACAGTAGACATTTGAACATATACAATTGCTGATCACCACTTTCATTGAATTTTGAATGATTTAGTCAACTTTGTAACACCCATGGTGTTCCTGGTCAAAAGTGACCGCCATAAAGAAATGGAATTAGTAACCATCTGGATCAGATAAAACATACACCACACACCCACACACACACACACACCACACACACACACACACACACCACACACACACACACACACACACACACACACACAACACACACACACACACACACACACCACACCACACACACACACACACACCACACACACCTTGATGTGTGTGTCCCCTTATGTGATCACACGCCTGACACACGACAAACACAGAACAATTTGATACACTTTCCCACTCTTATGTGCATCCCCTCACATGGATCACACCTGGCACACGCATACATGTTCAGTGTCTGTTCTTTGTATATCTTACTCGCAGTTTTTCATGTATGCCAGTAGTCTGATACAAGTATTTACAGTTTGAAAGGGTGTTAAATGAAGTTTGGTGGATGATTAATGGTGGGTTCGTGTTAATGTAAGTTAGCAGTTAAAACAGGACCCGGTCAAATTTTGACGCGCCACACCAAAGTAGTAAGGGGGGGAAACCAAGAACAATAGCAGGGTTAACCGAATTTTCTATTATTTTACACATTTATAGATGCTGTTATATACTGTGGTAATATATCCTGGCTGGTGACAGGATGTGTATTTTTTAAAATTATGTAACTTTTTTTTTTTTCTATTATATTATATTTTTTTATTATATCATAACTTAGTACCTTTTTTTAAATGCATGTCACATATTTAGACATATTACACATTAAGGCCGTCTGTGGCTCTTTTTTCGTTGCTGTAACTACGCACTTTTCCCTCCGTGGAATGAATAAAGGTATTCTGATTCTGATTTCATCATGGTTGAGAATTTCAACTCTGACCAGACCTACAGTAGTAGTGATGTCACAGTTACTGGAGTACACCTGTACTGGTAACACTGCAGCAAGTTGAATCTTTAACCACTGGATGTCAGCAAAATCAAGGAACTTTCCATAGGTTTAACAATACTCTTGTAGGTTCCTAACTTTATCCAAAACATTTCTTCTGAAACTGCCAACACGGAGGAAAATACCTGTTTTATGTTCAATTAATGCAAATTGTTATGTCTGCCACACACAAACTATGTACGTCCACTCACAGACAGCGCAGATCAGCAGTACCGAGGAAGCTTTCCAACGACGAGCTAGAGGTCGTTCAGGAGCGAGTTCGCGGGCAGGGGCAAAGATCCCATCGAAAAGCAATGAAGAGAGTATGTATGGGAAGAGGAGCGGAAGAAACGCATGGGGACCTGGAGGGCTAGATCCTGTGGAGGTGTACGAGTCAACTGCAGTTGTGAGTCCTTTTAACAAAACGCATGTCACTTTTTTCTCTTTTCTGAAGTTTAAATGCCCTTACAAAACATGTTCTTACTTGCAGGTAGATGCGAAATGCTTTGATGATAGAGCATTCCAAAATGTTACAAGAGGCTATTAAGCAAAATGAACCAACGGTATGGTTTCTTATTTCAATATTTCACGTTATGTACAATGTAAAGTTACCTAATTCACGTGTGTTCGTCTTTGTCCTACTTTGGGTATGTTAATAAATGTGAATTGTTTTATGTCTTAGGAGGCGACAGGTTCAAAATGAAGAGGTGCATAGAGTCGGCTCTGGGTCCCTAACTCCCAAGACGGATATGGGGATGAAAAAGAGGATGATCATCTACCTATGAAGAGGTGAAACAGGAGCTGGAAAACTTAAGAAGGAAGACAACATGATTCTATGATTGCTGTTTTTTCAACTGTAGCTTACCCACTGTATGCGGCTCACTTTGTGTATGATAGTTTCCCAATCATGAAATAATTGAATTTGCTTTTTAAAAAATATTTAAGCTGAGACTAGCATTCACCTATCCTGAACAACAACATTGCATTAGTAACTCTCTGCTCGGAAAAGAAAGTGCTGGCTTGTGTTTAGACATAATCTGTTGTATTACATTTTATTTGTGTACACCTATCATTTTGTGAGTGCCTGCCTGCTTCTTTGTCTGTATAGTTGAAAACCGTTCCTATACATATTCAGGTTGTTGCACTTTAATGGATGGATGTTTTTTCCCTCTTTCTTTTTTTTTCCTTCTCCACATTTACATGTTTTCTTGGCTCTCCTCGACTTTCCAGCGCTCACAGCACACCCCATCGCTCTACTTCCGGATCGCGTATTTCCACCCACACGTTGCCCATCTTCCCTCCTACACAACCCCTCTGCTAGACTAAAGGCATTGAAGATAGAGTATTTCCAAAGCTCAAGGCCAATGCGTTGTTGGTATTCACCTCTCTACTCAACCATGCACCTCGTACCTGAGGTACCATGCTTTTCCAATCTGAAGTAAGACGGTCAAAAATGAGAACCATAAAATGAATCACCACCAAAGTATTGTATCCATCTGCAAGACCTGTGTGTCGTAGTAACCGGCCTGCTTTTTTAATGTGGGAGCAAGCTGCATCCTTTGCTATGGTGTTTTTTCTAATAAATGCATTTTTGGTATTTCTTACATATGATCATTTGCTCTTACATAGAGATCTTCTAACTTGTACTGTAGCCGCACATAGGGTGGGTCATGCTATAGCCTTTAATACAGTCACTAATTACACATTAAATGACACAAACAATATTAATACACAGTACGCCAGTGCCAGGTAGCTGTGGCTTTCGAACGGTGGAGAGTCAAATTGGACCCATTTACCTCGAATGTTAAAACTCGGCCAATGAGAAAATACCATCTGAAATCAATGAAGCTCATCTTGATCATCACTAATTAAGAATCGCTCATAAAATGACAATCCCGCCAAGCTTTTCGGTGAGAAAATGAATGTGATAAAGGATTGGGGCACATACTGTTGTACCTCTACCCATATCATCTGGCAATCAACCCACCACTTAAATGCCGTCGACAAGACCAGCAAACCTTCATTTAGCGCCGACAGAAGGTTAACAACACACTAAGGCCTATTAAACACTCGGACCCATCGCACACCTCTCGCTGGACTGAACAACACTTTAACTTATGTAAAGGTGGGGGGATGGCTTTGATCACATAGTGGCATAATGTAAATCATAACACCAGAAACATTAAACCATAATGCACATGAAAAAAAGTGGCCAGTTGAAACATTATTAATAACTGACCAAGCACCAACAAGTACATCATTATATACACCTCGTGCCATTCATAACTAATTGCTATCCCCCTTGCATACTTACACAACGCAGCTGCTGACACGAGTTCCGTGGCCCCCATATCCCAACCCTCACATTTGTACAATCCCTCTTCCTTGACAGACCCGTTACTGAACTGACATTTGCGAATATTTCGATACTTTGCATAACACTTAATCTGCCTTCAAACACCGTTCGACACATTTCTCTGCTCTTTCGTCGGGAGTCTTCAAATCCGCAATTATGTGTGACGTCATTGCGGGCAACAGCTCTCCAGCTGCAACGCCCTTCAGCCGGATCCCAGGCATCTGCATGTAAACGCAACGATGTGAGGCCCACAGCTAGGCAGCAAGCTCAGCCACCCCGGAGTGCCACGTTTACATCTGGAACGTGTCCTGGAGCTCCATTCAGTGGAGCGCTCCGGAGCAGC